GTCCCTGAACGCTTCCTGGAGGTGGCTGAGATAACACTGAGAGAGTTCTTCAACGCCATCGTGGCCGGCAAAGACGTGGACCCGTCCTGGAAGAAGGCCATCTACAAGGTCATCTGCAAACTGGACAGCGAGGTTCCTGAGATCTTCAAGTCCCCCAACTGTCTCCAAGAGCTTCTACACGAGTAAATTCCTCCTCCTCCTCCTCCTCCTCCTCTTCCTCTTCGCTCAACGCTTTGCGCTTTCTTTTTTTTAATTTCCTCTGATTTCATAGAATTTTAAAAAATATTCTTTTTTTTCTTGTTTTCCCCTTTCCCCCAACTTTTCTTTTGATTTCCTGTTTTCTATTTTTTTTTTTTTTTTTTGAATGTATGAAAGTTATGAAGTAGCATTCCCAATCTGAAGCCTCTGTGGCAGTTCCTAAATGACCTAGCTATTGTGTTGTTGTTCTTAAATGATAATTATCATGACGGTTATTATTTGTTTTGTTTTTGTATGATTCTGAACTGAAGAGACTCTAATCTTATTGGGTGTTTTTTTTTTTTTGTTTGTTTGTTTTTTTTTTCTTCTTCTTTTTTTTTTTTTGGACCGTGTGAACCCTCATCCGTTTGGCCTGTTTTATGATCAACACTAACAAAGTCCTCGGTGTGTGTAGACGGAGTTCCTGAGTTCCCATTTACACTTCTAAGAACATAGGCTGGGTTCCCTGAAGACTTTACTCATGGCACCCGGGGGTGTCCCTCCAATCCAGCGGGTGTCCAAATGAACTGTCCCCGCGAGACTGTGCTACTGAAGATGTCCCCAACAGGACACACACACTCATGCACACAGAAACAAGGCCTAGTAAGGTTACTGACTGGACTCAGACTGGACTCATGGTACTGGTCTGTACTAACCTGTGGGACTTGGACTGGTTTCAAATGGCTACTGAGCTCTACCATGTTTTGAAGTGTGTTTTCCCTGCAAGTAGGGCATTGTGTTTAATGGGTGTACATTATTATTTTTGATTATTATTATTATTGTTGTTGTTGTTTATGATTATTATTATTTGTCATCACTGCTTGCTGAAGATTGGCACTTCGAGATTTGTTTGTCCCTTGATGCCGTTGCAGAAAAAAATAAATTATTGCTATTAATATTATTCAAAGAGTTTAGATTCTGGAATAATTTGCCCACCGTTTCCCCATCCTTCTCCTTACTCCTGTTTTCGTTTGTCCATCTCCGAAGTGGACTTTGCTTTTGTTTGTTTTATTTTATTTCTGTGGTCTGAGGCAACTTGCCTGGAAACGGTTTAGATTTGGGGTTTTAATGGAAGCCATCAAACTTATGGCTGTAGTGACTAGCCCATCCTGCACAGGACCATTCTGGCAGAAACACATGAAGTAAACGGTGAAGAAGTCTAGAAATATGCAGAAGAAGTGTGGCCTTTTCGGTGCGTAGATGGCTAAATTTCCGTAGCCAATCCAGCTTTGATAACTAAACTACTCCCACTAAACAAGCCTTTTGTCCAGCTATCAAAAAAAATTATAATCGCCTAATTTCCTGTCTCTGATTAGTGGACATACACAGTAATAACTGCATAGGTTTTTTTGTCTTTTTATAGCACTGTTCACTGAATAGCTCCTGTGTGAGATGAAGTCAGCCTGTTGATACAGCAGGCTTTTATTGTGATTAGCCTACACAAGGTGTAAATGACATTATGACGTTATTTCAATAGCAGATACTTGAATATATCAGAATACTGTGGCAATCTAAAGCACGGCGTCGCTGAAACAATAGATAATTGAGTACATATGAATAGAAGCATCGCAGGGAGGAAGATAACACAAGGAGGGCAAAGGGAGAGGTTGATATAAACTGAAACACGGCATTCGTTAATTCTGCTTCAAGAGGAACTTCCCCCACAGACACACAACACACACACACACACACACACACACACTGCTCCTTCCCTCCATGCTCACCTGCCTTTGAGTGATCTAGCTCCTCTCTCAATGCAACAATACGAGGTCGGAGGTGAGCACTCACCCCGGGGGTAGATGGAGAAGCTCTCAGCACTACAAAGAGCGGGGACAAAGGCACAGAGCGAGGAGCAACACGCACCTGAAACCCTCCGCTCTGTCCCTCCGTCCCAAACTGGCAGCTTTCAAGACCCAAAGTGTGATTCTGTTAAAGCCACTGTGCCCAGTTTGTTGAACGTCGTTCCTTTTTACCTGAGATTTTAATCCCAGATTTTCCACTTGAGTTGTACATTTTATCCGCCCTCTCAGGCTTTTAAGGATTTTAAGACCTAGTTAGTGTTAGCAGCCCTTTTGATGAAGTTTGAAGCAACAAGAAAGCGTTCTAGAGTGCGTGCGAGCTCGCCGTTGATCTCACCTTGGCGACATTGTCTCGTGGTGCGTCTGTGTGTGTCACAAAAGATCAAAAGGGGCAGGTTGCTTAACCTGCTGACTTGTCTAAGCGAGACAAAGCGCCTGACAAAAGGAGGCAGAGAAAGACGGAGAGCTACTCCCTTCATTATGTCCCCCACCTCTCCTCCTCCTCCTCCCAGAACTGTGTTCTTCTTAAGATCCGGGAGTCCTGAGAGAGCGAGCCGGACACATTTCTCACTGAAGGATGGGCTCGGCCCCGCACGTCTCAGAGTCTCAAAGCACCAGCCAAGGGCTCTAAAGCGCCACAAACAAAGGAGAAAGGAAAGGACACTTTTATCTGATGCACAGATTATTATCGCTCCCCACCCTCCTCCACCCCTCCTTCCTGCAACCCCGCCCTAGAGTTCCTCCGCCTAAAAAAGATTAATTCAGGATAATGAAGACTTATGTGCAAAAAAAAAAGAAAAAAGGATTAGTAAGACCTTAATACCGCGTGGAAAATATTTTTGTCAAGTTTTCCTTTTTCTGGGGTCGTTTGGTTTTAAGGATAACATTATTGAAATACATATATAGCCTTTTTTAAGAATTGTAAAAGATAAATCTATGGGAAGAAAATATATAAAGTAGTGGAAGTTCCTCGGGAGGTTACAAATTGTTTCATAAAAGAAATCTTGAGGGTATTTTTAGTGACGGCTTTGTTTAAATCTGTATTCTGAATAAGTGAGTTGTTGGTAGATTAGGAGCAATAGTCGTAGGTTTTTTGCAGGTTTTGTGACCAGTTTTTTCCTTTTGGTTTCTTTTTGTATCGTGCTGAATGGCTGTCTTCACGAGATCAGAAAAATAAAACTCGGAGTCCGTTTTCAGAGTATGAAATATTGTCGTTGCTACTGTAAATACTTTCAGGATGAGACAAAGAATAGCTGTACAGTTTTTCTATTATCACTCAGAGTGCTAGAAGAGGGCGGTTTAAAAGAAAAAAAAAAGAAGGGTGAAGTAAAAGAGAGATGACCCTCTTCGCTTTTTTCAACTGGACTCATAACCACTCTTCCAAAAAACCCCACAGAGGAGAGGTTTTTGTTGTTTTTCTTTTCCCTGCCATGCCTTTAACGGGGGTCTGTTTCCCGTCGGCAGTGCCCTTGAAGTTGCACCAGCATCCGTTTCTTTAATTTTTCGCTGACAGAACGATGCGTTAAGGCAAGCGGTCGGGTAATGATGATGTCACGGAGTGGGCCGTTGGCAGGACCCGGTCTCGTCCCAAAAAACAAGGGCAGACTGCCGCCAACATAGCTCTAGATTTGACCCGGGAGAGAGACAGGAACTCATTGTCATCAGAAGACTAGTGTCATGGAGGGGGCACAACGTTGTACAGTTTAAAAAGAGACTGCAGACGGAGAAGAAAAAAAAAGAAGTGATTTATACCCTTTTTTACCGGGTTCAAACAGTTGGGAAAAGTTTGGACTTTTGTGGAATTTCTGTACGCTTTGCATTTTGTGTGTGTGTGTGTGTGTGTGTGTGTGTGTGTACATGTATATGAGTGTGTGTCTGTGTGAGAGAAAAGACCGATTATGAGAACCTGTGAACCACTGAGTGACACAATTCTCAACACTGTGGCCCCTCCCCCACCCCTGGGAGTACCATCCTGACATGTAAATGATTCTCATTAAGCGTTGGCAACGTGTGTGTGTGTGTGTGTGTGTGTGTGTGTGTGTGTGTGTTGCGATAATTTCCTCTGATCTGTTTTCTGACCTGTTTGAAAGGGGTTTTTGTTTCTCGATGCTTTTCAGTAGTTAATTCTTTTTTTATTATTACATTGCTCCTCTTTTCCTTTTTTTTTTTTTTTTTGTAAATATCAACGATGTGGACTTACAGTGATAAATACTGCCTTTGTGTAACTTAGCAATATGTTATGTAAATAGTGTTTTGTTGATGCTTTTTGTATGACATTATTCGATTCTAGTGCAGTAATTCCAAACTGGAACGGCCATGTTTCAAATACAGTCTGAATAGTTACACACAGGTTGTAAAATAAAACTCATGACATGGCTGCTTTTATTTTTTTTTTTTCTGTTACCGGTGTCTATTTGTCTTGCAGATTTTGTGTAATTTATTGGTTTAATTTATCCTAATTTATTTGATGTTGTTTTCTTTTGTTTTTCAAACAGGGAAGGCTGTACTGCATTTCATTAAGTAGAACCAATTTTAAAAAAGATTTTAATCCTTATCTACCTAAAAAAAATTAAAACAATTAGTATTCTAGCGAGCTCATTCAATTGAGATAAATGGAGATCTTGGCAGCTAAATGGAACTGGACAGTTTTAAAAGAAGAAGAAGGAGAAAAAAAAAGAGGTTGTTATGTTTTGTTCCGGGACGGGGCCGAGGGTGGGCTGAAGAAAGCTGAAACTAGTTTGAAGCAGTTTTTGTATTTTCTCTTGAGATTTTTTCCCCTGTGTTGCTTTGGCCCAGCCCAAAAACAACCAGTAGTCAAATTGCCTTTCGTGCCTTCACCCTCTATGAACTGAATGTATGTGCAGTATATATGCAAGCTTGTGCAAAATGAATAAAAAATGGAAATAAAAATGAAAAAGAGAGTAGAAAACGACTGATGTTTGTGGTTTATTCACGTGGCCCGCTATCAGGTACGTGCACAGAAACATTTATTGTGTTTCAGGAGCGTTTCAGTTTTGGGGGAGGAGTTTTGGGGTCCTCTGCAAGAAAATTTTAGACTTAATTTCTTGTATTCTGGTGAATTTTGAAGCACCGATTTGTGCCTTTGCAGCATCCATTTATGTGGAAATGTCTTTAATTTTGTCAAAATAAAAGTCATGTTTCAATACACATGTTAAAATATTGATAAAATATTACCTGTGTCCCCGCAGAAATCTACACCTGTGTTTGTATGTGTATGGATGTCAGTGATATAAATTTCAGTGATATGAATTTATGGTATTTCCTTGATATCTTGGATCTATCTTCCTGATCAATTGTCTTAGTTACAGTAAAAGAGCATCACCGCCCACAGTGTGTGTGTGTTTACTGTATAGTTACTCTATTGTGTTGGAGTGAATCAGCGCTGCTCTGCTCTCCGAGTGATTCAGTGCACTAATGAGGAGTTTGACAGCAACCGCACAGCCGAGTTTTCTCCACAGATGACTGCAGATGCCGCCTCATCGGGCTAAATGCAACAATTGCTTTAGCCAGACACACACACACTCTCTCTATCTCTCTCTCTCACACACACACACGTAATGAAATCATGTCTTCAACCTTCATTGTTAAAGGTGAATTGAGGTATTAACTAAATGAAGACAAGTTGATAAAAGTTTAAGAAGGAAGCACAGAGTTTTCTTACAACAGTTATTTTCATTATTGATTATTCTCCCAAATATCCTCTCAATAATTAATTATCTACAAGAATTTAAGATATAAAAAAGCCTGTCACAAATGTCTGTTATATTTTCCCACAGCCCAGGTAGATGTACTGGAATTGCTTGTTTTATTCAGCCAACAATCGAAAAAACTGAAATACTGTGTGCTTCAAATCCTCACAATTCAAGAAGCTGGAATCATGTTTTTTAATTTTACAAATGATTAATCAATTATTTGACTAATAAATAGCTAAAGAAATGGATTAATCAATTTATTGTAGCAGCTCAAGTTCAAACTAGTGAAATGTTGTAATGCAGAAAATTCCACGAATCAACAAAGGCATTTAAATACTAAAGATTTTTATCTTATTTTAATGACATACTCCAACTTTTTTTTGCTGATGAGTTTGGGTGTCTTTTAAGAAAAATCCTATTTTAAAAAGCATCAGTGTTCTCTCTCTCTCTCTCTCTCTCTGCGTCATTTTGCTGTTTTCTCATCATGACCTCCGTTGTAGTTTCCACCACACCAGACCGTTGCTCTGTTCCTTTTCCTTCTTTTGTTCTTGCCTCGCTGCTTTTCACTCTTTTTGCTTTGATGCTCATTTTTGGAGTTGCTTCTTTTGTGTCTTTCTTGCTTGCTTGCTTTTATTCTTTTTTTCTCTCTCTCTCTCTCTCTCCCTCTGTCTCTCTCCCGTGTTCCTTTTCCCTCTCGTCCTCCGCTTGCCTCCCTCCGCCTGCCTTAACCGGAGGCTACAGCTCCTTAGGTTGGGCTGAGACAGCATCTTTGTACAACACCGACCGTCTGCTCTGTAATCAAATACCATCTGTCGCTACATCTGAAGACTCACTCTCTCGCTTCCTGCATCACACACACATGCACATGCACGCATGTAGGCGCACACGCGCGCACACACCACATCTGTGCTTCCCACTCTTGAACAATGTGTGTGCGCTCTTTATGTACAACGACCCGTGTACTTACAATCATTCCACCTGATTCATTCTTGGCCTGCAGGGAGGAAGTCACTGGAGTCACTTTCACCACTTCCTGTTTTTTTCCCCCCTCTCCCGCTGGGGGGTTCAAAGGTCATTGTCTTCAGGTATCCATGTTTGTTCTGTGGCTCTGTGTGTCAGCGAGACCTTGGCTGCTGTATCAGACAGGAGATAGTGGACTTTAGCTCCTCAGTCTTAGATCAACGGCCCACTATCTCAAAGGCTGCCAGCCTTTCCCAATGTTTGCCCAATGTTTGTCCCTGCTCCGGCACAGAAAACGTTGACACGGTCCCCAAGGTCCCTCTCCAAGTCCCCCCTCCCTCTGCGGTCACTTGTTATCACACGCTCAGGTTCAAGAACATTTTCCATTTGCTGTTAAGAGTGTGTTTTTTCAGCTTTTCTTTAAGCTTTCACATCAGTGGAAAGTGTGTTTTACTGTGCAGCTTGATGGCAGTGGGGGATTTACAGCGCACCGACTACAAACATAGCATTTTTTTCGGTAAATATCAACACACACATGCACTGATGTAACTCCTCATGCAGGGGAATCTTTGTGACGAAGAAGCGCAAGGACCTTATTTCGATTTCTTCCCTGTGCAATCCTCCTACCAACGACCAAAATGAGCCAACCGTCGTTTGAACCACTTTGACACCTACACCTCCAAAATGACCGTGGGCTTGAAACTGAAACAGCAGAATATTATTGAAGTTTTTCCTCCATCATCAGAGGATTTTTTGTGTGTAGAGGATGGCAATCTGTATGTGTGTGTGTGTGTGTGTGTGTGTGTGTGTATACGTCTCCTTCGATTTGCTTATCAGTGCATTTATTTCTGAATTAAAGTTTTCACACCAAAATGATTCCAGCTTCAATCAAAAAGCATGAAAGCAGATTTCCACGTTGCACAGATTGATGGATTCATTCTGCATGTGTTAGTAATTAAACACTGGATTTCATCTATTGTGGATGGAAGCAACACACTGGTCTTATGCTCCAGAGCCACTGGCACAGTGTGGGATTAACTCTGGGTTGCCCACGTTTGGTATCAGTGGTGGGGACACCTAGTGGTCAGTATGTGCAGCTTACACTCTGTGTGTGCTGATTCTGATGTTGTCTTCATATCATCCTCATTGCCCTTTTTGGTTTTGTTCCCTTCTGCTTGTTCTTTATTATTAGTCTTTTGATTAATTTGTCCATTCTTTTTCCACCCTCCCTCTCCTTTCTTCTCTTTTCCACATCACTTGCGTGTGTGTCCATTTGCTTTGTAGAATTGGAAGATTCCACTTGGACAGATCATTGTGCCCCCTTTTTCCTCCCAGCCTCTTTCTCTCTTTCTTTCTCTCTCTCTCCCTCTCTCTCTGGACGGCTCCAACGCAACTGGAGCCTCGGAGGCTCAAGAGAGGAGCCTGGGAAAGGAGGAACAAAGGGCCGTCCGTCTGCAGCCATCACCACTCCGCACCTCCTCTCCTCCTGCTCCCCCCTCGTTCTTCCCTCCCTCGGTCCCCTCGCCTCTCTTCCCTCTCCCCACTGGCCAGCGCCCCAAATTAAGACTTCAGACAAGAAAATGGGCTCGCTAAAAAAGGGAGCGAAAGCGAGAGAAAGCGAGAGAGAAGGAAGTCCATAACAAGCCAAGAGGAGCAGAGCGACAAAGCCTCTGTTGTTGGATGGCAGGGCCCCTCTGTCGCTCTGCGAGGAACTGTCACTGTGTCAACTTGGACCCCTTGTTGTTGCGAGTAGCACAAACACAAACCATAATGAACACACACACAAAACATAACACGCACAGGCAGGAACATGCTGCAGAGGACACACGCTCATACCCACTAAAAAAAAAAAAAGAGAAACAGGCGTAAACTCACATACAAATCATGCCAAACACATACTGATGCTCCAAAATGAGTATAGACAGTGTAGGTGAGAAGACAGCGGCGGTGAATCCCCACAGCACACCTTCATTTTCACTGCCAAGAAAGTTGAGGGAGGAGGAGGGAGGAACTTCCCTAAAAACTGAATGAAGGTTTGTGAATGTGTGCACATGTGAGAACATGTGTCCAAGGCACACAATGGAAGGATAAATGATATATAAATGATATCAGGGCACCCATTAATACAAGGGCCTTTAAGGTGCACTGGGGGCCCCAGGGGCAAACACCTGCCAAGGGTCTTATGAAGTGCACACACTCACACAGAAAAGGGGCCTGTCTTTGGTAACTTTCTCAAAGAAAGATCAAAGACCTGCAGATGCCTTTAAGGGCCATGACACACCCAGCCGATGGTTGGCCGTTGGTCATTCGGGCTTTTGGTGAGCATCTGCGCCCTAGTGTTTGCTGTGTATCCTGCACTATTGGCCCAAGTTGGTCCTTGCTGGTATGTTGAATCACAGAGAGCATAGGAGACGGTGGAGTGTGTTGGTGAATGAAATCTTTTTGAGTGGCTCTTCAGCTCAGCGCATGAGAAGAGAAACAGAAGTGAGGAAAGTAAACAAAAGGCTAAAGTCAAGAAGGAATGATATCGAAATAAAGTTGTTATATTAGGTGAGATTTATGTTTTTTAGCTAATGAGCTCTTTAGCAGAAACAGTTCGGAACTGATGAAGAAGATATACTTAATTTATCCCTAAGGGGAAATTCAATTTTTTTCACCCTGTTGTCATATACACACAGGCCCAAAATACACATGCGTGCACAAACAGGACCTATACATGCGGTAAGTGGAGAGATGTCACAGTGAAGGCTGCCCATTGATGGCCATCACTAGCAGTTGAGGGTTCAGTGCCTTGCTGGGGGGGCACCTCTAGCTACCAGTCCACACTCCATCATATTTGGTCTGGACAGAGACTTGAACCGGCAACCCTCCCAACCCAAGTGTTTGGACTAAGCTACTGCCGCCCCACGCTCTATATTATTGTTTGCAACTGCACGGTAAATATGCTTTGTTCTTTTAACACTGGGTTATGTTCATGGATGGATTAAGAGATCCAGATACAGCGTTGGTGGTGGGACAACTACCACGTATAAAATTACCTGGCTGATCGGTGCTGCTTCCATTTCACTGGGCCTATAACGCAGGCGCACTAGAGAATGCCGCTGGCTAAGTCAGCTACCTCTGGTTTAGCACTCTGCTGACTTAAATGGGGATAAAATGATTAAATATTTTCTCTCTCTCTTCTAGACATCACATGATCTGTTGGGCGACCACCATTGGTTGTATTCACAGAGGTGTGTCTTCT